ATTTTAAATTTCAAAAATGGTTAAAATCAAGTATATCTATAAACATATGAAAATCTTGAAAATGGACGATGTAGATAATATGTTGTAAAATACACTATTTTTTAGACTTAAAATCTTTTTATTTTTCATAGTCATACATCTCGATGTTGAGAGATCAATCAAAGGGTTTTTCAACATTTAAACTATATTTTCCGATGGATTTTTGAGCTGCATCCGTAGCTGTCGAGATAAGGTTGCAACCTTATATAAACTTTTTCCAAAAATTATATATGTATAAGGACATGCATAAAGGTTTTCCATAGTTGGAAACCTGTAATAGAGGTTAGGTCTTTACTTAAAAACTAGATCATTCCATAATAGGGACAAAATGGCCCTGGTTATAGCTAATTCTCCTTGAATCTTCGAAATGCATTTCTCTCCATTTTCTGTGGAATTCTTTTAATGTGTGGATTCCAATTTCCTAAAAAGGGAAGTTTTAGCTTTCTTTAACTGGACGAAACCCAGTCTAGAAGCAACCAGATTCATCAAAATTTTCATTCTTGTCATCTTAGCAAGCCATAGCTAGACCCAATCAGAGATGCACATTGATGTTTGGTAACAATAGATCTTAACCGTCCATATCCTCCTTTTGCAGGTTGAAACTGCTCTCGATGCACCAATGTCATGAATCTTGTGAGGAAATAGCTGACTCTTGTGAAAGGCATCCTTCCTTCACATGCAAAAGTTTTTAGTGGAGACTTCTCCAAATTCCTTGAAGAGTAGGGCATCGATCCAGTTGCATCATTATTAACTTTTTGATTTACTCTTAGTAGGGCTGGCAATGGGTCGAGCGCCCTTCCTGGTCGGTCAGGTCTTTAAAAAATAGGGCATGGGCCAAAAACTGTGACCTAAAGGGCTAGGCTAGGGTGACTGCCGGCCCTAACAGGGCAAAGGCCAGTCTTGGTTGGGCCCTTGGAGACAATGGTCGGGCTGAGGCCCAAGGCTGGCGCAATTGCCACCCTTAACTCTTATCTTAGGAGCCAATGAATTAAGTGTTTGATGGTTAAGTCTAGTCTTTCCAATGAGTAGGTATCCATGTGAAAAAAAAAAAAAGTTAAAATATGAAAAATATTTCAAGAAATAGGAAAGTGTACCATACACATCCTCCGTGTGTTGTGTACATCACACATTCATGTCCACTAGTATTTGTTCTCATGATGGTGGGATGTGAACCACGGTCTCGAAAGCGAAATCTCACCTTGGAGTTAGGGGTGATCTCTACCGTCCATCTTGATAAGGGAAGGTGGAAGGTGTTTTCTCAAGATTTTTGTTGTGTAGCATACACAAGAAGTATCTCTTAAACAGCCTTGTTAAAGGGCAAAACCTTTTTTTAATGTCAGGTGAGTCGGGAGTTAAGCTATCAAAGTCGCCGTTATTTTACTCTAAAGTTAAGGCTGGTAACTGTGCGGTGATTTCCTCTAATAAAGTTAAGAAAAGGTGTGGAGTTTACGTTTGTTTTCAGTAAGAGGAGGAGAGAAAGAGAGGGGGAAGGATGCCAAACAATACAATGAAGAAGAGAGAAACTGTTGGATATACAGACAGAGAAAAAGAGAAAGCCAAAAGATTTCCAGCTCTTTTTGGAGTACACTATCTATTTACTCCCTCATACAAAGCACATATTTGATATACCTTTAGATCTTATATTTTGGAGGTGTAATCTTTACCATGTATAAAATAATCTCAACAAAATAAACTATGTACTAGAAAAGAAAAAAAAACTAATGTTTCAATATTGAATAGAAACTGTTTAATTTCTGAAGGGCTGGATCTAAGTGTCCGAAAATTCAAAATCCAAATTATCAATTTTAAAAATAAGCTAAAGTGCCTTATATGGCTCTCAAAATTTTAGACTACAATCATTCTTCTAAACAGGTGTTTTGAGTGAGGGAATACCATAGTATAACCCTGAGGGAGCATAATATATGCATGCGCTTAGAAAAAATGGTAATGATCTTAATGGAGAGGGAGGAGATGTTTGGAGAGAGAGAGGGGGAGGGAATGAGAGAGAGAGAGAGAGAGAGAGGAGGGAGGAGTGAGAGAGAGAGAGAGAGAGGAGGGAGGGAGGAGAGAGAGAGAGAGAGAGAGGGAGGGGGGGAGAGGAGTGTTAACTATGTGCTAATTGGGACAAAGCCCTACAAATTTGAGTTAGGACAATATGAGTTAGGACAATAGGGTGAAGATTAAGAACTAAAAGGTGTTAGAACTTGGAGAGAGAAATGGGACAAGTAAAATTTAGAGAGATAAAGTGGAGACATTTAGAAAGATGAGAGAGAAAAACGGGGGCTATGAAAGAGAGGGAGGGGTCCATGTTACTTTGGCAAACGTTGAGTACAGACCAGATTCCAGCCAGCTAGAAAGAGAGGCTCGCAAGGTGTCAATGATTGGACAAATCCTAAAGGGGTGGCAATGACCCAGATCCAATCCGAAACCAGAGGAGTAGACTTGATTTGGGTCCGGGTATGGGTCGAAACAATGAAGCCGATAGGTCATGCTCAAGTCCAAATATTGGACCCAAACACTATACGGGTCCGGTCCAACACTCTAAAGCCAAAACGTAAATCAACAAAGGCACCATTGGGTCCGGGTCCACCACTCACAACTCAAACCTAAACCAACAAATGCTTGTTTGCTTTGCGTCGAGGGTGTTTGGAGAGGGCACACGCATTTAAACTTTGCCACGCTCGAGGAGGCATGGGGAGAGGTGGTGTCGGGCATCACCCCCATTTCTTTATTTCTCTCTCTATAGGCCAAGTCGCGGTCCCCTTACCGTCTCCATCACTCTTAGGTGCCCACAAAAGCGACTCCCCTCTCTCTCTCTCTCCCTCTCTCTTCCCATAATCTAACCCCCTTTGCCAAGATACTTTATACTCCTGCAGGAGTACCGCTGTCCACATATTCCCTCGAGTAAAACCCAATTTCAGAATAATTTATAGCATCAAATTTTATGGATGTAACCTCTTCAACATATAACCCAGTATCAATTAAATCATTTTCCAAATTTTTACTATCTAAAAAAACAAAATCATATTTCAAGATTGAACATTGACTGCACAATTTAAAAGAGTGAAATCTAGGAGTTAGAAAACTCAAAATTGAAATTTTTTTCTTGTGAAAATAATCATGTAGTAATTTTTAAGTACTTCCAAAAATTTCAGATAAAAAAAAACATCCCAAGTAGGTCTTCTATGTGAGTTTTAGTATACTATGCTCTCAAAAAAGTATAATAGTATACTTGCATCTCAATTTCTTCCCACCCAACCCACCCTTGCGCCTACTTTCTTCTCAAAACTCAAAAAGTGTATCAAGTATTGACTCCTCCCATTTATACGTACACCTCATCTCTGTCTTCCATCCTTTTTCACGGCTTGCATATGTAGAAATGCGGGTTTATTAATATATCTATTTTTAGATGGATTTTTGGACTTAATTTTTAAAGGCATATGATTTTTAAGATGAGATCATGAATATGAAAAAATAAATAAATTTTTAAAAATAAAAAATAATAATTTTAATAAGAAAACAGTTGAACCTTTAGTTTATGTTGTTTTTAGATGGAACACCTATCTGCATCCATCTTTAAGATGGACGCTGTAGACCGCATATGTAGTGATGCGGGCACGAAACAATTTTTCCTTGAGTGCTCCCACCATACATACATCTCTCTCTTCCAACCTGTACACTACCAAACACACATACATCTCAAACGACCCTCCTTTCCCTCTCCCTCCCCCTTTATAACGGCCTCCCCTCCCATTCTTGCCTTACCCGTTTCCTCCTCGATCGACGTGCCTTTCAATCCTCGCCTATCTCTGTAACCCCATTCTTCCCCCCTCCTCAGCCCATCTCTCAGTGCACAAAAACTACTCTCTTCTCTCTCTCTCTCTCTCTCGTATCAGATACAACTACTACTACTACTACTACTCTACTACACTAACTACTCTCTCTCTCTCTCTCTCTCTCTCTCTCTCTCTCTCTCTTGGTTTTGTAGAAATCGAGTGGCTCCATCACTAAGACTTCGCAGCTCTGCATATTCACAAATGTCTGTAAAGGTGGAGAGCGTCGCCATGGACGCTGGTACACTCGACGTCGACTCCCGGCGCGTGTTGCAGCCCGCCTGCAACCGCGTGCCCACCCAAGTGCACCAGAACAACAATCTTAAGAAGAAATCCACCACCAAGCCACCAACTTCCCCTAAACCCCCTCAGTCCCCGTCTTCGCCCACTTCCACTCTCTCTCCTCTCTCCAAATACCCCACCCCTCCTCGGCCCCAACACAAGCGCTCTCCCTCTCTGGAATCCACTCCCATTTCACCGACCTCAAAGCCCTCAAACCATGACCAGAAGGAAGAGCACCACCCACAATTGTTTGTTCCGAAGGCCTCTTTCGGTTTGGCAGTCGGTCGCAAGAAATTGAGGAATTTGGGAGACATTGCAGAGGTGCCCGGTAGCATCGCTGCTGCAAGGAGAGAGGAAGCCAAGCAAATAAAGGCGCAGAGGAAGCAAAAGATCGCGCATTATGGGCGAGCCAAAAAGGCCGGGGTGGCTCCTCCTGCGGTGGTTGCCGAGGCTGTTGCGGTGCAGGAACAGAGGAGGTGTAGCTTTATTACTGCCAATTCTGGTATGTGGAATTGTTGGGTTCTGCTTTTCTTGGTTTTTGATGTTTAAAATTGCTGGTGATGGGTTTGGCAATGGGGTTTTCCTGGTTTTGAGTCTGGGTTTTCGATGATTTTGCAGACCCTGTATATGTTGTTTACCATGACGAGGAGTGGGGAGTTCCCGTCCACGATGACAGGTAAGTTTTAATTTCCATTTTAAAGAGAGAAAGATTCTAGTTATTCATTTTGTTGAGAGAGAAAGTGTTGTTGCTGCAGGATGTTATTCGAGCTTCTAGTGCTGAGTGGAGCTCAGGTGGGCTTGGATTGGACTACCATGCTCAAGAAACGCGAGACCTTCAGGTACATCAAATCAACCACATATAATTCGCATCTCTCTCTAAATGTTCATCGAAGTTTTTACAATTTTAATCTCTCCTTCTCTCAAATGTTTATAGAATTTTATTTTATTTTTTTGTTTTTTTTTTAAGTATGAAGGCCATGAGAAAATCGAACTGCATTCTCTCTCTATCTCTCTCTTAATTATCTTGGTTTCAAGTTTCAGCTTTGGAGTGAAAAATTGGTGGTTTTGGGTTGTTACAGTGAGGTGTGTAATATTTCAGGGCCACATTCTGTGCGTTTGAGGCTGAAGCAGTATCACAATTGAGCGAGAGGCAGATGGCTTCAATAAGTGCTCAATGCGGACTGGACCTCACCAAGGTTCGAGGAGCCGTCGATAACGCCAAAGTAATTTTACAGGTCAGTCGCTATTTAATCGTATTACGGAAAAAGGTGTATTTGAGGTTGGCGCCGTGTAGAATTATGGTAACACCTCAATAATAAGCTATGGAAAAATTAAATTAAATTTTAAAAATCGATATCTTTTAATACAAACGCCAATTTTCATTATTTTCATGGGTATAGATTTTTTTTTTATTTGATATATTTTTGCAGTTTAAAAGTTTATTACTAGGGATGAAAATATATTCCATGGCTATCTTAAGAATTTTGGATCCCAAAATTGCATCTGATGAAAAAATTTTGTAGCGGCTTACTTGGATTGTTTAAGGTTGCAACCTTACACAAACCACACCCTTATATTAAAGTTGCTCGTATTTTACATTTTTCTTTTTTTTTTTGACCGCATTCAAACTTTATTAAAAGCCGCTCATGTTTTCTATAAAATTTAATCAAAGTCAATAGTTCATTAGTAAGAATAAAAAAAGACTGCTCTATAAAACTTGAGTGAATTTTTTTTTTTTCCTTTCTTCTAATTGAGCCCATTTTTTCAACAGTGAAAATTTCAAACAAAATATGCTCTTTAAATATGGGTCCATTTTTTGCTTCTCTATGCATAAGTATACCTTAGAGGGTAATGTTACTATCAAAAAAACCAATAATAATAATAATAATAAAAAGTTTACCTCAGGTTATGACAATAGAGAGGTAAGGATAGGCTTACAATAAGAAAATATAGTCAAACTTAAAAATGAAACGAAAAACATTGGGCACGGTATAATTAGGTGATGGAGTTTTCACACGAATTGTCTCAAACTTAATCGAGAGAGTTTTTTCAAGTGAAAATATTTTTTGAGATGTAACCAAACATGCCCTCGGTGGTTTTTATAGTTTCCTCATTAATCTTTGTGAGTAACTTTTCCTTTCCAAGAAAATCTATAAAGCAAAATGCAAAAATAAACATCTGCCCTAAAAAACAATTAAAACTTTCACAAACTTATGTAGTTTGAAAAAATCTAAGTTGTCCATAAATTTAGTCCAATAACCATTATCCCAACACACAACAAAAAAAATTGTTTTTTTTGGGCCAATCTTTTGTCTGTTTTTCTACTATTTTTCATTGTTATTTTTTTTTATGTGGTCCATTTTGTACAGATAAAAAGAGAGTTCGGGAGTTTGGAGCAGTACATTTGGGGGTTCGTTAGCAAGAAGCCGATCATAACAGAGTACAAATCGGCGAGGAAAATCCCCGTTAAAACGTCGAAATCAGAGAGCGTTAGCAAAGACATGGTGAAAAGAGGGTTCAGGTCTGTGGGTCCCACCGTCATCCACTCTTTCATGCAAGCGGCCGGCCTCACCAATGACCACCTCCTCTCCTGCCCACGTCACCCCCACCATAACACACCCTCCTCCTCTTCATAAAACCAGTGTTTCTCACTCATCAAATGGTGTAATAGTATATAACTATATACAGAAGAGAGAGAGAGAGAAAGAAGAGATAAAAAGTGCGTTTGGTTTATAGCTGTGATTTTGGTGATTTTTCTAACTTATGTAGGGGTTTTAGGGGAAGGAAACGTGCTATGTGTGGTGTTTTTGGTGAGATTTGGGTTTGTTTGTTGGTGATTTAATAGTTGGATGAGTTGTGATTTGATGAGAGAGAGAGAGGGAGAGGAGAGTTTTAGAGAGAGAAAGAGGGGTATTTTTATTTGGTGGGGGACTGGAAGCATGTGCTTGTTGGCAGGCAATGCATGTGTTGGTTGTCAGAGGGCACTATCCCATGTGAGCCCCCACCCTCTCTCTCTCATCATTCATTCCTTTAACAGGAGGACCACCCCACCCTTTCTCTCTCTAAACCTACCCCCCCTCCTCTCTCTCTCTCTCTCTCTCTCTCTAGCTTTCGAGTCAATAATGATTCTGATGTTCTCACTTTCATTGTACAATGCAATGTAACCCACAATGTATTCTGATTTGCTCATCTTTTCTCAAGGGAAGGAGAGGAAATATTCCAATTCCTTCCCCCATTCTAACTTTTTAGAGAGAGACTACCTTTTTATCCCTTGCTTCTCTCCCTCCCATGCCAACCAACTGGCTGGCTGGCTGGCTGGAGGATAAGCACTCTCTTTACATCCCTTCTTTTTGCCTCGCCCTTTTTTTACTCTTGTAATTTCCAAATGTGTGTTTATTAATGAATGAATTATAAGTTTGGCTCTCTAGACACCCTCTCTCTCGTTCAATTTTTTAAGAACCTAGATCGGTGACCTCGATTGGCCAGCACCCGTAAAATCAATCCTGGTCGCTGATTCAGATCGGTTAATTGGTTAGCCAGATCCTATCTTGAAAAAAATTCAAAAAATAATGAAGTGCCATTATGAATATTGTTTTTTGGGTTTTCAAAGAAAATGGTTGTAGTATATTCATCATCATCGTCAAAGCATTTTTTCAACTAATTAGACATGAATTCTGGTCTGCTGTATTAAGGGTCATACCCTCAATGATGTTATATTGCCAAAAGAATATGGTTGGATGTAATGAAAAAATATAAGGGGACTTAAAGTGTCATTGAGGATATGGCCCTTAGAAGAGCAGAACGATGGATTAGGATTCATATGTCCGACCCAAGGCTTATTTTTTACCTTTTTCAGCCAAAAAGATATGGTTGGATGTAGTGAGAAAATATAGGGGGACATAGGGCCTCACTGAGGATATGGCCCTTAGTATAGCAGAACGATAGATTATGATTCATGTGGCCGACCCCAATTAGTTGGAAAAAGTCTTTGACGATGATGATGAATATACTACAACTATTTTTCCTTAAAATAGGGTATTACATTACGAATTTTTATTAGGGAAAATAGCAAAAACCCCCACCAAAATGGGCTTTTTATCGCAGTTTACCCACCCAACTGTTCCTAACAACTTCCCATAAAAAATCATGTTTCCTAACAAATACCCTTATACAAAAAGTTAATTTTTTTTAATGAAAATATCCTTCCCTCATGTAACAAATCATTTTCGGATCCCAATAAAAGGAAACGTCGGACTGCTCACTTCAAAACGTTGGACCGCCACTTCTCACTTCAAAATACCGAACCGCCATATCAAAACACCGAACCGGATTGCCCTTTCAAAACGTCGAACTGCAACTTCAAAATGCCGGACTGCCTATTCCATCAAAAAATAATCGTCAAGCCGCCACCATGAAACTCTCCACCGACCATTCCAGTAAAAATAATCGTCGAACTGCTTGTTTAAAATGTCGTACAGGTCCCCTCCAACAAAAATAATTTCTTATATGAGGGAAAGGTATTTTCGTTCAAAAAAATACTTTTGTATGGAGGTATTTGCTAAGAAAAGTTTGGTGGGGGATAAAGTGCCTAAAGAGTCCATTTGGGGGGGAGTTTGCAATTTTCCTTTTCATTATCTTACAAATAAGTGAAATATTTCGAAGTTGTTTGCTCTTTGAATTTATATTGATTATTACATTCACATCACAAAAGTAAAAAAAAGAATACAATCATCATTAATATGAATACATATATAAAAAGTGATTGTATACTATGACACCATTTATCATTATTATAAGGAGGTCAAAATCACTCCTAGCAATTATATGTTAAGTCGGATTGCTTGGGGTATGTCACTGATTATTTTTTAACTTTAAATCTAATTAATGATATATTAACAACCACTCAATTTAAAATCTGAAGGACAATAGTGATTGTGACCTCATCTTATTAAAAGAACAATATTTTTGTATACTTTTTCTAGAAAAATACAACCTCACAGTGAACAAAAATCCGGCCACCTAGGCAGTGGGTTTTGGGCAAGAATGCCTAAGGCAGGTTCCTAGGTGGTTTGGGCGCCCACTTAGTGCCATCCCTTAAACTAAAAAAAAAAAAAGAAAAAAATTAAATTTCAAATCCATCCAAACAAAAATAATGCTTGGTATTGCCCTTCTCGCTCTATCTCTCTCTTGGATCCATATGCTCTATCTACATATGAGAAAAACAAGAAGAAGAAGATGGACTCTAGGTGTTTGATGTATGGCCTCTCTCTCTCTCACACACACGTACAAAGATACACATGGACCCATATGCTGATATTTACATCTATGAAGAAGAAAAGGAAGATGATGACATCCAAGTGTTCAATGAGAGGTCCCTCTCTGTCATAGACTCTCTCTCTCTCTCTCTCTCTCGACATATCTTCTAAGTGTTCGAGGCACCTCTCTCACAAATACAGATCCAAAAGAAAAAAAGAGGATGATTTTTAAGAATTTCATGCGAGATATCATACACACACATATGTGTACATTCACACACACACAAAACACAAACATATAGCCCCCACTCCAACCCCTTCTCTTAAGACCGCCTTTGTGTTTGGGCGCCTAGGCGGGCCAAACCTTAGCCTCTTAGGCGGCCACCTCCACCTTTTCTAACATCGCAACCTAACATTAAGAGAGTAGTTTTTATAGATGAAATTTATACATTCTTTGGAAAAGATATTTGAGTTGTATAGATATAACTATATTTTAAAATATTCATTTTTTTAAAAAATATCTCCATACCCATGTTTTTAATTTCTATTAAATATGACAATAACATGTCGTCCCGTGTTTTTCATGGGCCAGGAGAACGCCACCCAAATGACCCCATTTGTATTTATAAATAATTCCATTCCGTAGTCCCCCAACGCGGATTGCCAAGGACATTGGGAGGCAACACCGTATGAAGAAGAGGCAAGGTGAGGTGGCTCGGGTGTTAATTGCTGTTTAAAACAAAAACATCGGCTAATTAAGGTATTTTAATAGATGATCCTACAATTTATTATCATCATTATAGTTTTTTTTTAATTAATTGGGGTCCGCTACACGATTCTTAATCCGCGTAGGTGATTCCTAAATTAAATTCCTACTAAAGACTGACTATAAAGTGTCAATTTGAAAAGATATATTGTTTCAGGATTCCAGCACTTCTTTAGCTGAATTGTTCAAAAAGTTAATAAAATCTTATTTGAAATTTTTTAGATAGAAAATCCCTATACATATGTTTCTTTGGGGGTAGGGCACATAGTTATGTGGTCGTGCGAGATCACATGATTGTCTTCCATAAGTAGAATTGGCGCAAAGAAAGCCGAAAGTTTGACTATCTTTTGGTAGAGAATGCAAAAACACACAAAGAATCATCCATCATAAAGTTTATAAAGATTCAAAATATAAGATAGGAAAATAGACACGAGTGTTTGTAGCTCACATGAGAGTATACTGTATACTGACTCCCTCGGATAAAAGAGATATCGTCGAAGTTATTTTTTTAAATTGATTTTTTGAATCCAATTAAGAATGCTTAGATAATTATTTTCAAAAAAAAATAAAAAAAAGAAAAGAAAAAAAAAGGTCCATTTTGGGTTCTTAAATACTTAGATCTTGCCCTCCAAAAATTAGGCATCCTTTGTTCATTCCTTGAAAATAATTTTTCTTAAAGCACATAGAGCATGCAATTTGAAATTTTCGCTTTTGAGCTTGATCTCTGCACTCAAGAGGTTATATCTCAAAATTTGGGCACCTAAAAGTATTCTTAGGTTGAGATTTACCCGAGGGAGCAAATGGACAGTGTGCTCCCACGGGAGCATCATATCTTTTGGGAATGGAGAGCTTCCCATTGTCGTGGTTCTTTTCATATAGTTTTTTAACATTAGGAAGATAAAAGTAGCATTACTACAAGCTTTAAAGAAGGGAATCAATTGGTTTAGAGTTTAGACCATGATGGACATAAATATAAGAGAGAGAGAGGAGACTACTTTTTTCTCCTTTTGATTTCTTGCAAAACAAGGTCAGACCATTGGAGGAGTAGACTTATATGAAACAAAGATAGAAACCCATGGATGGTGACTTTTGAGGGAATACTAAAATTAAAATCCACTCTTTAACTTAAGGTGCAGTTTCTATAAGGTTGAAATCTTAAACAATCCAATTGAGGCGCACCTGCAAATTTTATAATTTTGGGTTAAAAAACTTTTAAGTATATGTGAAGGAAAATTGTTTCATGCAGGCTGGACCGCATTTCTACATATGTGGTCTAGAAAGTGTAAAGCATCCATCTTAAAGATGGATGCAAGTAGGTGTTCCATTTGAAAACAATAGAAACTAACGGTCCAAATATTTTCTTATTAGAATTATTATTTTTAGTTTTTAAACTTTATTTATTTTTTATATTCATGATCTCGATGTTAGAGATTACATGTCCTTAAAAATTAAGTCGTAAAATCCATCTCAAAATAAATTTAGTAAGAGGCTAGCATTTCTACATATGCGGGCTTTGCCACATAGAAACCGGGTCCTTATCTGAAAATCTATTTTTATCTCTAATTATAAAATTTTAAACTCCAAAAAGGGTTAAAATCAAGTAGTTCTATAAACATATGAAAATCTTGAAAATAGATGGTCCAGATAATGTGTTGCAAGATGCACTATTTATAGGACATATATATATATATATATATATATATATATATATATATATATA